GTATTTCCTGTTTCTCAAGGAAGCTCTGTAAAACACAGACGAATAGTCACGAAACATTCACAGCTGTGTCAATATCAATGGATTGTTAACAATCTTTCAATGTTCGTAAACTTCAACTTTGTGGTAAGCAAAGAATTAGCACAGAAATTCTATTACACAAAGAGTATTCTTGAATTACGTTCTAATCGTACGTTAGAAGTCAAGGTCACGGAGCGTTAAGTCTCCTTCGCAACCCGGACGCATGTCGGCTTGTCGCTAATCTTTTGTCACTTAACAGCGTTCCATGTCGCCACTCCACAGGCGCTGCGAGTGACCTTTGTTTGTATAAACATCTCCATTATTTCTCCAAATTGTTTTTCCATCTGCACGGTCCAGCTAAATTTAGACAAAGGAATCTAGAGTTAGACAATAGCCAAAAATAACGTCACAGGAGTTGGGAATAACTTAAGCCGACTTCTATCGATTCGTTTTTCAACAGCATTTTATTATCCGACACAGGTGAGTTTAAGATCAATCCGCACCGCTTATATAGCAAATGTGGCCGGCAGCAATCGTCTTGAATTGCTAAGCTGTGAAACGGATTATAGACTAAAATACATCCGTTTATCTCGAGAAAATCTGATTCAATTATCAGGTTATCCTATTGTGGGACAAGGGGCAGAGCTTGCGATCGGCTGGTCTCGTGTTCATGTAGACCTGTAGAAAGTGCTGAAAGGGTGAAATTTTCACCTTCTAAAATAAACAGAGGAAAAACTTAGAGAATCACGCACGCGAAAAATGCGACAGAATGGTAAAAATTCGAATCATTTAGCCCTTAAAATTATCGTCCTTGGATAAATATGGTACCTAAATTATACCTAAATAAACAAACTGGTGGGCTGAGCCAGTTCAGGAAGAACGTTCGACGTGACCCGAGCTGGCTCTTAATCTGATTTATTCTGATCTATCTTTTGTCTCTTTGTAAAACGGAGCTGAAAATTAAACCTTTTAAAATTGACCTTTTATTACAGAGGCAGCGAAAGAACGTGCCCATTATAATTTCGTTTATATCTTTTGTTTGTCATTGAGTCTAACTGTGCAACAATTATTCATGTTCTAATGTGGATCCCTTGCTCGATTTGATGATTTTTGGCTTGTTTTGAGTAGAGAAGTTAATTTATCACATATTAATGCGCGTTCAGCTGCAAAGCAAGATGTACAATTTTCTAGTACTTGTGGTTGGCTGGTTTTATTGATCGATAACATACTTTTCGCTTCCCTGCTGTGCCCCACCTTCAGAATTTCAAACTAAAGCCGAGCAATTGGTATGAACAACGGTAGTGACGTAAACAGAAAAACCGCTATTATTGTTTTCCGTTTTCTGTGTTGAAGTGCGTATCTTGAAGAGCGATATTGCATTTGGGTTAAAGCACTCAAATACGTCACTTGTTTTTAAAACTCTGGAACATCCAGCATTTAGTTGCATCTCTCGGTGGAAGAAGGAGTAAGTGTATCGGCCTGCTATCGGTGAGTACAGTATATCATGGCAGCGGCGAGAAAACACGTCCTCGCTTCCTTTTAGTTTATGCAATGATGTGTTTATAAACAGCTTCTTCTTGATCAAATGTAATGAAAATGTGGAAAATCTTTTTATTTCAAAACCGCTCCCTGGGTAATACATTTGTACATTTTACCGTCACGGTAGTCAAAGCAATAGCTTCGTCATTCTCTAACAATAACTTGCCTATTTATAAACTTTGTACTCATAAGTCCTTTCATAAAACTGTATTAAAATGAATCAGCCAAACGGAATAAGTACATTTTATATTCTTGGTAAAACTTAAAATGAGTTTATATCGACCGGTTATGTAAAAGTAACGCAACGCGATCAGGATAATTCGGGATGTTTTCTATTGTTATCTGAAACAGCGGGATGTCAACATTGCTTTTGAGAGGTCTTTGTTTTGTAGCTTCATCAAGGTGAGTCCATGTTGTTTCGTGTCACGGAAGGACAGGTTCCAAATTGTTTGCTCAATTAGTACAGTTTTCCTAGAAGAAAACTCTTGCCTGGTTGGGTGTTTTGTAATGTTCTTGTGTTCGTAATCAATTTGCTAAACGGAAGCCAACAAAGAATTTCAATACTGTATGCCGCTAAAATTTTCGTGTTTTGAAACAAGAGGCTTTTCCGGTTGTATGTTGGCGAAATTTCCTGTTACGATAACACTTGACCAAAGGAACAAGCAGTCACTTCAATGGAAATTACTTGAAAACTGAACTCAGAAGGAGGGGGTGAAAAATACTTGCTGGGTTATTGTTTAAAGTTTACCTTTTTGTGACATCTATTGTTCGCTCATATTAATTCATATCTTTAACTTTGCATAACCTCTGCGGAATTACTAACCACACCACACTTATCCACGTCAGTTTGTTCATTGATCATATGTACATCAACATTCAAGCATTTGTGAGTGGACCAAAAATTTTTGGATCATATCTATTTCACCAAAAACTGAATTTAATATACTCATTCCCAGAGAGTGTAGTCACGTAAATCTCAGCTTAAAATTTGAAAACGTGATTTCCTGTTTTAGTTGGCGGCTTAAGCGTCCGGTCGATAAGACAAGTACAAATAACTAATGTCCACTGAGTCAACCAATATGTTATTTTGATATCCAGGTTATCTCTGTCCGTCTCCTACACACGGAGATGCTGCCATTATTGTGGTTTCTTATCAAGACCTGTTTGCAATTAAAGCATTATCATGGGATGCTGGGTTTACAGAAAAATGTCCAGAAATTACAGTAATTTTTTTTCCCGAAAACTTCTAAGAGAGATGCGGTTTTTAAGTTACAAGAGCCACGCGGCTTTCAATAACAGAGCGAGATCTCTAAGGTCGAATGACACTGGCGATGAGTTTGGCAGGCAAGCAGACGCGTTTTTGGCGGGAAACATTTTGGCGCGAAATCTCGAAACGACGACAGAAGTGAGCTTTTCACACTTTTGCTGAAAACGCATAAAGTTTAGATGGTCTTAAAAGCGGGTTTCAATTTCGTGTCTTTAATACTGGAAGCAAGTTATAATATATCCTTGGCATTAATCAGAACCTACTTGAAAATTTGTGACGTTTTTTATGGAAGCGCAAACCAAATTACGTGATGCTTGATCAGGTCATGTTCCGGTTCTCGAAACAGTCCTTCCTAATGGACGTTTATTTCGTTGATGATGTCGTTTTAAAAAAGATTATTCACATTTAGGCAAATTGCTTATTTTGCGAACGGAAAAGCTCGGCTGTTTTGTAGTTATTTAAGATTCTGATCAATCGTGCCCGCAAGGGATTTATTAATGTTCAAGATAAGTGCTGCGAGCTAGGGGAGCAAATATTGCTGGAATGAGTACGAACCAGAAGTGGCACTTTTTGATCTGTTCATTACACCGAGCTCTTACAACTGATGAGGCATTTGTGACTCGATTGATGGCTTATTAGTGTACAATTAAAAAATTCTTTACTTCTACTCTAGGTTACGTAATCAAATGCAAGGACTGGTGGATGTGGAGCCCTCTGATTTCCATTGACTCTTTGTTCCCAAAAATTTATTCTATAAATTTAGACACAGTAAAACCGCAAATGTGAGGCCACTTAGAGCTTTTTGACAACTACAAGGGGAAGTTATTTTTACTGTATTGAAGATAGATATGCACGTGTCAATTCACATTCAGCGGTATTTATTTTAGTTAGATGCAGGATTAACGATCTCAGTTTAATTCATTTTTATTGAGGCAGCTAACAGTTGAAAGCCTTCTTGATATTTCAATATTGTCAAACTCCCTCTGTCATCATCAACAGGGGTCATATTGAAATAGTTATCATAGGGGAACATGTTTTCTTATCAGAAATCAGCAAAAAAAAAAAAAAAGAACATTGAGTGCACACAATGAACCTACTAAAGGGAAATACTGATAAACTGAACAATTTAGTCAGATGTCAATACTTTTACTTCAGTTCATTAATTCACCAATATATCAAAGGTTTCCTGAGGCCTTAATAATTCGATGGGCTTACAGTATAATATTTAGCGGTACACCGTTTGTTTAATCAGTTATATTGGATTTCTTTGAACGGCGCATCGTTATCATGCTTCACTATATGATCCTTTTCTGACTCAAGGAAAATCCAACGTTTTGTCTTTTTGTATCACACCATGTACTACTGAGATCATTTTGTTCTAAATTACGCAGTGAAATGTGAATGTATGGTAATTGTTGGCTACATTCGAATCAATCAGTCCAGTAAGCCATTAGGGTGACACATTGGGCACTTAAATGTGGAATGCATTGCGGTATTGCCCGTGTGGTCGTTTAAGTGTTTCTCTGAAAGGGCTTAAAGACTTAATGACTCATACGGATGATCATGGTGCTCCCTGTGTGTATAAATGTGGTTATATCGTGTTTATTTCTCTACCAACTGATATCGCAGGGCTAATGGATTGAAAATCTGATCATCATCCGTCCAGCTACATTAACGCTTATCCCAATCGTCCGCATGGACCCAATACTACTCAGATAACAACTTAATGTTGAGCTCTCCTCATGCAGTTCACTTTCATTTTGTGCGGTAGCGCAAACCCTTCAAAGACCTCGAGTGGGTCAATATTGGCGAAGTGAATCACATCGCTTTCAGTTCAACAATATTAATCAATGTCAATTCAGCTGACCGCCCATTTTATACCCTCCTCCAAGACCTTTGATTTTTTTTGTTTTAAAATTTTCATGTCATGGTCACTGAGTATAAATAGCACTATTTTTATCTTGGGAGTGGTTGCATAGGTTGCTTGCATTAGGAATATTTCATTCGATATTTAGATGGTATTCATTACTAAACTAACTTGTCGTTTGATATTTTCGGAGTATTTCGGTGAAAACGTGACCTTCAAAACTACTTGGTCACGTCTAAATAATTATGTAACGTGTCTTAACAAAATATACACCTGTTTGATCTATGAAGTTTTGACGGAGTGTATTGTTCTTTGTTTGTGAACACTTGTGCACAAAATTTGGGAAACTATAAAACTAAAATTCTGTGTTCATCTGCAAGGTTTGAAAACTTCAAAAAAAGAGAATTTTCTAGTCACATCTTAAGGTCACCAAGTAGGTCATGCATTGCTGCATATTTAACACGACGCGATAACTTTGCAGGATGGCTTCTATACGTGAATTGAGAAGAATGGTGTGGTTTCTTTCACAATTGATTTACAAATGTCGCGATAATGAGATTGGTCACCTCAGATGAATATATCCTCGATGAGCGGTGTCTTGTGTCAGTTTTCAAACTTAAGGGTAAATAAATACAGAGAACAGTCTTATACGAGAGAGGTAATTGATATGTTGTAAACGTATCCTTCGTCAAAATACTTTTTCTCATACAAACACATGCGTTAACGATAGCACTGTACTTTCTAGCTAGTTTTCAGCTTAAAAATAATTTATCAAATGGAAAATCTGAAAGTACCTTCCGGAAGTTTTCAAATGCGTTTTTTAAAGTACACCGTCAATGGCGAAAAGTTCGAAAGATTGGTGTGGACAATTTGTTCAGCAAGGAATGCCCACGTGCTGGGAGTTAAAGAGTTAAATACTGGGTAGATAATTTTAGACATGTCAGAAAGTTTGGAAGTTTGCCGCTATTGATAATAACATATTCACGTGACCCCGGGAGAGAGGAAGTATGATGACGTATCATGTAAGCAATAATGATGATTGAATGACAAGCAGGGTTTAAAGGAATCTCATGTAGATCAGCACGCTGTGTGCATTGCACTCAATAGAGTGCAGAAAACGCACTGGTTAACACTACGATTGTCTTTTCACAAGAGACACAGAACGTTTTGCCCCTTCCAGTGACGAGGAACTTCATATTTTATTTCCTCCTCTGCCTTAGTAAGGATATGAGTGCCATGTTTTACGGTCATTTGGTCTGCGTGGGTTTCTAACATGACTTTTATTTTTGTAGATAAGCAATGGCTCCTTGGACATATTTACTGCTACAAGCAGCGACGCTAGTTATCAACGGAAACCGTTTCTCGTATTCAAGTCCCCTGAACGCTAACAGGTTTTCAGGTAATGCAGATTGATTGGGATTGTGTTGTATTTTACTCTAGAGTTACTCGCTGTGCCAGTGTTTGTTTTGGAACAGTTCCTAATGCAGCATGTGCTTGGCTTAACTGACTGGCAGATCACGATTTAAGTTATGTCGGGCTGATGAGCTGCTAGAGGTATTGTTCCCAGTCAACGGCGGGCAAAGGCAAAACTGACTTGAAAATGATACTTCTGTTGATCGGCTTTTAAGATAACGAGAAGATTGATGTTTTTTAAGAGGTCATGATTGTACTAAATTCGAGTTGTTCTGTTATTAGAGAGTTCCTCAATATCTCAACCAGAAGACGATGGTCTGGATTTCACTGTAATGGACTGGATTAGCGCGGCTAACAAACGTAAGTATTATCTTCGTCTTATTGCCTAGTAGCTTAAAAGAATACTTGACGTGCGATTATCTCTTCCTGCAACGAAATCAAATACTTATGGAAAACACAATTGTCCGGAAGGTCGCTCCAAAAACGTCAAAGCAAAAATGCCATTATTAGAAAATGAAGGTGTCTTATCTTTTGAGTTATGACTTTCCTAGGCTCTAGGGGCGTTATATCATTTCGGTCATCCAGCATTGTATCTTAACCCCAGCGGAAGTCTTTGGTGAAGCTATTTGGTAAGAAAGGCGCCAAATAATTCCTGCAGTTAAAGATCAAGCAAAAGGGTTTTTTTTTTTCTGAAGACCCTATGTCACTTTGTTGTACATTCAGCCACCATTGTACCCACAGAGATTTACGGAAGGAAGTACGCCTGAGCCTGAACTCAAACAAAAACCCACGTACATCCAGTTCATGCTAAGTCGTTTGTCGCGTGCATCACGCGACCTTTAAATGTGTAGAATCTTCGTGATCCATATCACGAATATCCGCAGAGCAGAATCATGCACGAGCCAATGACATTTGGTGTCAGCGGACCAAAACCGCTAACACTTCAAATCAAATAAAGGTACGCAATTTATATTTAGCTTCAACTGCTAACAGATCAGATACTCTCTTAAAAGTTCTCCAGGTTTGGAATAAAGTCAAACAACTAATAATACTAAGCTTCTCACATTGTTGAGGGTCGAACGATCAACCAATCTAAGAATTTGTAAGAATGATCGCCATGCAAAGTTGATTTTTAACCTGTTATATAACATCTGGGGTTGTAAGAATGGTTACGCAGAATCTGACCTTTTTAAACTGAACTGTAGCTGAGGTAAAGACCAACCGGTAAAATCTCATGAACAAATAATCAATTAGGAGATTTCGAGCAAAAGATGATGATATAGAGAAAAAGGTAAGGAACTACCAATTGAAGCTCCTTTAGCAGTGAGTCCGCTCGTAAACCAAGATGCTATTTTTATGGACCAAGGAAAAGGAACAACCAACCACAATTCCCGTTACAATGAGTCCATTTGGACTGCTATTGCGCAGAACAGTAGAGGAACAGTTAAATGTGGAAACAGCCAATCATAGCTGTTGTAAGAATAACTCCCGCTGGGTCTTCGTTCGTTCGACGTTGATAGTAAGATATCTTTGTTTTCAGCTTATAACATTGGACATGAAGGAGATATAGCTCTAACCGAGAGGGACTGGAACGTGTATGAGAAAACGCGCTTCAGGCGAAACGCTGTTCGACAGAGAAAGAAGATCTGGCCCAACCGAGTCATACCTTACGAAATCGGGGAGGGACTAGGTACGTTTTGTTTCCACCTTTAAAAATATCGTGATCTATTTTTTATAACCGGTAAATTATAATATTTAAAAAATAAACCATCTTATCCATACTAAAAGAGCGAACGTGATTCACCTTTTGGATGATACTGCACTTTGTACCCTGGATGACCTAAGCCAACCGGTGACAGGTATTCCACATCAGGTCATATTCACCACACTGGCCCAGGAGTCGTGCTGGATACTACTTATTTCTTCAAGTGAAATCCTTTTACTTGGATATAAAAACACCACTTGGTGCGATAATCTCTCTGCGTGCTAAGTGTGCTTAAATTCACAAATCCTGTTTGGTTTTACTGTGTAGTCATTTAAATAATCCATATTATATTCCATCACTTGGATTCTCGACTGACAGCCAGGGAACTCTTAACTCGTTAAAAATGATCAGTTGGACAGGTTTTTCGGGCCCATCATCTGATCGTAGGGGCGGATCCAGGATTTTTCTTAGGATGGGTGCACCACCAAGGAATGGCGTAACTGACTGGTGCGGTACACAAATTTTAAAAGCGAATACGAGGAAGAAGTCTTCATCACAGGGAGGGGGAGAGGGGTGCGGAGTCCACGCACCCTTCCCCAAGATCCGCCCCTGATCGGGAATATCGCATAACTTGTTTGTGAACTAAATGAATTCTAACATGAGTTGCATCAAAGTAATGACTTCTTCCCAAGAGTCTAGTGGACGATGAAGGGGGAAAGAGTTAATCCCCCATAAAGGCCAAGATAATCCCTCTAAGCTATTCTTAGATCATTTCGGGGCCGGCTTCACAAATCCAGGGGATCTAGAAACATGCGATCCTGTTACACGACTTTTATACTCATGTTGACAGCCCAAACAGCTTTATGGCACGCGCATTATCATCCTCCGAGAAAACATCCACGCAACACGTGTCGTACCATTATCCGCGGGAGAACTGGGTACCTAGCTGGAAAATAACTTCACTGGAATAAAGTCCTTGAGAATAAGGCCCATATGGGGTAAAAACTCTTTTCCCTTCATCTGTCTTGTTTCTTTCCTAATGGCGCTGTGTTTCATTTAAGACTCGTACAAGAAAAACATCCTGGCGGCCATAGAGGAGTTTCACAAACATACTTGTCTTACTTTTAAAGAGAAGCAAAACGAGAGGAATTGGATTAAGTTTAGCAAAGAAAATGGGTGAGTAAAGTGCTTTCACTTTCCACTGTTGCTGCGAGGTAAACCACCTCAACCAGTACGGCTTAGAATAAGTAAGTGTCAAACAATGAAGTGTTTTACTGAGCCTAATGCCAGGTTAGTATATTAAACTGTTGGTCGCGAGCTCCTGGATTCGAACCCGGCGTACCCGGGCCGTTTTGTCATTTTTGACACTTAACTCGCATAAGAAGTTCTCTCGATCCCGGAGCATACATGGACAAAGAAACATTTAAAGGGTTTTCATTTTGAAAGGTTTTCTAATAAAATGTAGTTAAACCTCACTACAACGGCTATACTGGGGGCAGAATTTACTGGCTGTTGTAGGGAATGTTCCGTTAGAGTCAAATGATAAACAGACAGGTGACCATCATAAAGAAAAGGCGGTTAGTGGATGTACCTAGTAACTAGTACCGTCCTGTGATATGTCACAGACAATGTTTTGTTTTATATCATGGGTTTTATTTTTCGAAACTAATCAGGAGAAGCAAGAGAGGGTGAATGACAGTTAATTCCCTATCAGTAGGTCTTGTTTCCAAGTTAATCTCTCTCAAGGGGTTCATCCCCTTTGGGAAAAAATCAATTTATCACTTCCCTTGACTCTTCCCTTTTTGTTGTTGTTGCAGCTGTTGGTCTTTTATTGGCCGGCTGTACTCGCGCAAAGGAGCTCAGGATCTCTCGCTGGGTGAAAAATGTAACAATAAAGGCATAATTATGCATGAACTAATGCATGCAGTTGGATTTTGGCACGAGCAGTCACGACCTGACCGAGATCAGTATGTAGAAATCATCTGGGAAAACATTAAGAAGGGTAAGTATTTCAGTTGCATCACCCAGCTACTGAGTGAAAATACATGGGTATATCTTGGCGTTGCGAAAACTATTGTTGGTTCGCAACTGTGCAGTAGAGGGGGTTTTAATCTTTACCTTACGTCATTTGTTGATCCCACCATTTGCAACAACAAGAAGCCTTTCCTTGCTGCTAACAGTAGATATGCCGTAGTTACTGTATTCAGTCGTTTGTCATATCCACGCGAAGGGACTGGGATAACAGTATTATTTAGTCGTTTTTTCGATGTTAGACGTCACACCTGGTAGGAGAAATAAAGAAAACTAAAAAGTTTCTATTTTTGTGTGTGCCATAGGAATGGAAGGCCAATTCAACAAGTACAAACATTCCAAAGTAGATAGCATGGACTTTGATTACGACTACAGCAGCCTGATGCATTATGGGAAGCGGACGTTTTCCAAAAATGGCAAGCCTACGATCCGTGCACTGAACAGCCCTTATATGTCCCTGGGACGATCAGTGGGCTTCAGTGATCTGGATATCAAGAAAATGAACGCACTGTATGACTGCAAAAGTAAGTGCTGGAACTTTGTTGTCTGACAACCACAGGCTGGTTTTGTACCATGCAATGGAAAATACAACCAATCAAAATACAGGAAAGCCGTTGTATATTCGACGATATTGTATTTGAACAGGGTGTGGCTGTTCCTTGCACCAAATAAACGTCGTCATAGCGATATGGCTGTAATACCAGTTTTACTGTAGCTTCGTTTTGGCTTCCTTTTATCTTTCGAGCTAAACCACCACACATTCCAGTAACAACATGTCTTATGTGTATTTTTTTTTATATCCTTAACGAAACAAGAGCTTCAAAGGGGACAAGAACTTTCGGCTGCTTGTTCTCTTCCTTATTTGTATTCTTTTGTTTCTCAACTGAACTGGCAATTTTTTATAGATGAGCACAAAGTTGGATGGAGCGAATGGTCAGCGTACACCCCTTGCAACAGCAGGTGTATGAAGTACCGGCAGCGAGTTTGCTTCTCGTCCCGCTCGCACTGTCCTGGGGCCGACTCTCACGGAATCCAAACCGACCGAAGAAAATGCACGGATGAAGAGTGTTACGGTAAGTTACACAGCACTTAAACCCAGAAACTCAGCTTGTTTATAGTCGAGCTTCAGAAGTGTTTAATTTTAAAGTGACATTTGTCGTAGTGTTGAAAAGGAGGCGTCGTCAGCGGAAACTTCGCCCTTTTATTATTTTTTCATTGTCATTGATGAATCACCATTCAAATTTGGCTGAGAAACAAATTCCGTCAGGCACACGCCTATTAATTACACTTCAGAAGTGTGTTTAGAATAAGTTGTGTAGTATGATTGCATACCTCACTTTCTCAAAAATATGTCGACAAACCAGGTTTTCGGAACATAATGGACGTCGTTATCAGGCTAAACCGAGATTACTTTATCTTGACTTGGTTGGTTTAGTATATCTATCTGACGGTCAGGGTTTTTTTTGTGTCGCCAACGCCTGATCCAAGGTTACTTCTGCTGGTGGAATTTACGAGTTCAAAATACGAAGTACGCGAGATACGACAAAGCGTTTGATGTAATGGCAAACTGTCTGCCACAAGAGCAATGGGTGTTCACTTGGTTTTTGTTATTCAACAGGAAATTGAACTGAATTCCTGAATGAACAGGAAATTGAAATTGAACTAACGTTCAAGCATGTTTAACAAATTTAATTTCCTGTTAACATGAAGAGGCAAACCCACTGCTGACATCACGAGATGTTGACAGTAAACGCGTAGCTCACAAATACCTACACGTTTTTCATTTATTGACCAGCATAACACGACGCACTTGATAAAATGCTTCTTTTGGATTATCATATCTAATATGTCTCCCTGCCTTGGCCCAAAAAGTGGTCAATATCTCGTAAAAATGAACTTTGCCTGGGCCTAACGTAAATTTACTCCGAGGTACACTCAGGCGATCTATGCGCTGGGCTTGGCAAACCTTTAGTCTGCATGTTCGTGTTTAGAGTTTAAACATCACACCTGGGTGATTTGAGATACTGTGAGAGTAAAATAAACTGTACAAGAACCCCACAAACCAATGCTAGAAATTGAATTGCAGACTTCCGTATCCACTGTAACATTAGGCCAGCGCAGTTCTTACATATCATTAAACAAACGATATAAATCGCGGTAAATCGTCTCTTTGTTGCTAACTGACTTATCGCAGATAAAATCCTTTTTGAAAACACCTCTTCTGTGACCTTCTAAAGGTTTCCCTACCGACAACAGAGAACTTGCAACGTAATATTTCGTCCCTATAATTTCAGCGCCCGTCAATGGGAACTGGGGACGGTGGACTGAATGGAATGCCTGTGACAAACCATGTGGTTACGGCAAACGAAAGAGGACGAGATCATGCAATGACCCAGCGCCAAAATATGACGGAAAGAACTGTCTGGGAGCTGACACACAGTATCGGATGTGTAATATGGTGGCCTGTCCTGATAGTAAGTGAACCTTCTAAGTTATGCCTTCGTATTTTGTCTTGACGGATCTTCCTATTCCTTTACCATAGTAGTTTTAGTATTACCATTTGAGGGTTTTTATACCTCAGCAAGCTCTAAATTTGTGTTCCTTCTTGTTTGGAGATCACCCTCCAATTCAGTCTGTGCTTTAATTCATCAGTCACTTCATAGCTAACAGATATTTTGACTTTTTCCCCAGACTTACTTGATTGTAATTTCGATCAGGATTACTGTAACTGGACAAACGCTTGGAGTAGCTCACCATCTTTTAAATGGTATCGCCACAGGGGTCCTACCCCAAGTAGAAACACGGGACCAAGCGCTGATCATGGAAAAAACAATGGTAAGTTTGAACCTGGTGTCCTGTGGTCATAGTTCTGTCCGATGATTTGCAATGCAAACTATCACTTGATTGGTTGTCGCTCAGGTACACGCGAAAGAACCGCGATAACTTACTGATCAAGTATTAAAATCTCATCAAATAGCTTGAGATTCGACCAGAGAATTTCCATATTGATGACTTATTAGGTTACATTTTTAGGAACTATATCGCCTTTGTTGTGTTTTATGCAACAAAAACACCCCTGCATAAGGGGTCTGTTCCCGCAGTACAAGCGCGGGCTGTGATAATCGCACTGTCAAACCGACACCGTCATACGATAGCCCAGTTTTTCTTCGTGACTAACGTAGATAAAGAAAGATTCAATTTGCTTTAGTCTGTTACCTTGAACACTCCATGCAACTTGGGAGTTATGTGCCTAATTTCAAGCTGTTTTGCAAAAATATGTCGATACTCGGTGAGCAAGATTTCGGACGCAGGATATTGGCATCAAATAGGCCATTTTCGATGTCTTATAATTCCAACTTAGCTCCGAGGATTGGGGGGATAAAACGCAAAAAATCGCCTCAAGGATCAGAGAAGAATAATTAATCTCCTTTGTTTTGTTTCCCCAGACCTCGTAGCCAAGTTAAAACTATGGCATATTGAACTTTGACAGGAACAAAAATATATGATGGTTTTTAGTCCTTTTAAAGTTCTGTGCGTGTATTTTCAACGTGGTGTCTAGGCAGAAACGTGGCCCGACTAAATACCCTTCCTGTAGCCACATGGCGTCAGTACAGAGTTCCAGCCTGCTGAATGCTGATTGGATAATTAATTAAAATTTTACATCCACCGGTCGTGTGCAAAGACAGACCTTTAAATGTTCTCTCTGCATTTTTTCGCCAGGATATTACCTTTACCTGGAGTCCTCATATCCTGCGAGGCCTGAGTACAAGTCGCAGTTAATGAGCCACTCTTTTGACCCAACGGAGGAGCGGTGCCTAACTTGGTGGTACAATATGCACGGCAGGACCGTGGGCTCGCTTACCGTCTACCTCATAAACAGCCGTTTGGGGACTAAGACGAATTTGTGGTCAAAATCAGGAGAACAGGGAAAGGACTGGAAACAAGGCTTTGCTTCATTTCATTCTGAATCGCAATATAGGGTAAGCAAATGACAACCATAAGTTGTTTCTATACTCCGTATGAAGTTGGACGTGGTTGCCATGCATTTGTGTGAGAAGTCTGTCCGCTCCCTTTAAAAAAAGGTTAAGTATTGGGAAGTGGATATTACATTACTTGGAAAAAATTTAGTCTGTTAAAATGTCGGATGTTTTATTCCAGACGTCGGACACTTTTTGTCTCATTTCAGACAAATTTTCGAACAAACACGAACACAAATGAAAGAGGGCAAGAGCATGCTATGACCCAGCGCCAAAATACGACGGGAAAAACTGTCACAAACACGATTTAAACTTAAACAAATTCTGTGAAAATGATAGTTTAACTGCACCCTCAAGGATTTAGATAAACACAGACGAGAGAATAACACAGATTTTATCAAGTCGTTTTTCTATCTCAAGCAGTGTCTTAGAGCTTTGGAGCTACTTAAAATTTTTATACTGTACTTTTATTTCCGTTGGTTTTCCTCCCTCCAGAAAAACCAACATCCCAATTCTACCTCGATATAGGAGGTGCACGAAGCCAACTGGGTCTAATGTCGCTCCCTCTTAAAATGTTGAAATTATTTTTCATTTTGTGTCCATTCTTGGCGCACCACACCATTTTCATAAATACCATCATAAAAAGCAGGGCAAAATATCTTGGGGATCAGTATTTAAAGCCTTGAAGTGAGAAGCTTGCTAACTGATCCTCAAATTTCGTTTCTTTATTTCAGATCGTGTTTGAGGGATCACGGGGTCGAGGCTACACAGGGGATATAGCTTTGGATGACGTACAATTCAGGGAAGGCTCTTGTGAACACAATGGCTTTGTAACGTTCTAGGCTTAAGACTCACTAGGATTTCAAAATTGTTGAGCGAGCATTACGTCACACTATTTTGGGCGATTCTGTGTTAGACAACCTCAAAAGGAACCAAAGATAAAAAAGATTGATATTGGAGGAAAATATGAGAGAAACTGTGGCAAGCCACAGGCGAATGTGGATAGAACTGAAAGGTTGAAAGGTTGGAACAAATTGTAAAAGTCGACATACTGTCCTTATTATTTCACAGCAAGTTGGCTCTAATGTGAGCCATTAGCTGTATGTGTATCTCTAACATTACTTTTTCACTCGCTCGGTTTTGATGAGAAGCAGTGTAGGAACAAACTCGTTCCCAGGGTCTCTCATCTTTCCGCCCTCTTCTCTGAGTCACCCTGGGAGGGCGGGAAGATAAGAGACCCTGGGAACGAGGTTGATGTGGGAAATGTCATTGAATAGAACTGTTGTTATTTCTTTGACGAAAAGATGTCCTTACAAAGGACTTTATTCATTCACATATTGGATTTTTCGCGTTTTTCTCTCATTGTATATTACGTTTTGTACATTGCACATAAACAGTTCAACTTTTTACATGACTCAGCCATTTGATGGATTCCTAACTAATAGAATTTTTTGTAAAAATAGTAATTGGCAAATATTGGGATTTATTAATATATAGACATTTCTATAAACCTGAAACATTCTCCTGTTAATGTTGATTTTGTTAACATTTAAAACCAGTCATAGACGTTCGCTACTATACTTTCAAGTATTCGTTGGCGGATAGCTTGCTGTGGTAAATTTCAAATTTTATCACATTGCGAAACCAATTATTTTGCCGTTTAGCGCCATATAACAATTACATACTCCTCCTTTTTACATGTAGAATAAATCTTGGGCTTCATTAAGAAATTTCTTTGAGAAAGATACTATTCAAACAATTCCATAGCTAGAAGACGTTATTATATAGTTAATTAAAAAGGGATCACGTGGTATGAAATAACAACCCCTACAACTGACTCAACAACAGAAAATAGTTTTGTGAAAGGATCACGATTGCCGTTGTAGATACTCGTCTATACCTTTTTCATCTTTTATTTGCAATTGCAAAACTACTGTTTAACCGATTTATTTTCTAAAATGGAAGATTTTTTAACTAATGAATATTTATAAACTTTATTTATCGCAGAATTTATGTAAACAATTATTTATGTGCTTTATTAAACGCTGTTTTTGAAAAAAGAAAACCCATTGACTGTGAGCGTACACATTGAGGATTTATGGAGTGTGTGGCTGACCGTTATTAACTACTTCATGTTACAGTGCCGGTTGCCGTAAAGATCGAAAGTAAACAAGCTCATTTCTAATGTAAAGTCTGTAAAGTTTCCTAACTTGTTCCATTTCCATGACAACTTGGCTCCTCGTTTCGGAAGCTGTCGAGGGCTTGCTGAGGGCTTATTACTGAGTTAGTGACTCACTTGAGTCAGAGAAGTTATTACTGATTTAGATTCCTACAGTTATCGCTTCCCTTGTTACATTAAAAAGGAGTGAGCTATCACTGCTATGTCTCGAGAAAACTATAACGTGACAGATTAAAAGGCTACTACCCTGGCTTGCCCGGCATGTTTAAAACAGCTTGTTTCACGCCTGAAAACTTTGAACACGTGAAAAAAAAAAAAAAAAAATAGAGAGTTATTGACCGATATACAGTGCAACCCCGCATTACAGCCATCCTGTTAATACGCCCAGCTCGTTATTACGGCCATTTTATTCTGGCCCAAACAAAAGCTCAGTCATTCATTTTCTTATCTAATGAACCCCTTTAATACGTTCGCCCCGTTAATTAATACGGCCAGATTTTTGTTGCCCATGGGTGACCGGATCAACAAGGTTTCACTGAACTCGCAATGTATAGAAAGGTTTAGACTGTTTAACAAGCCAAGTTGGCTTTACGAAGCAAGCGCGTACTCCAGGTTCCATAGAATGAAGTGTCCAGGAATATTATTACCCTCCCCTACCTCACATGGATTGCTGTTCGACGTCGCCGTTATTTGGATCGTCACGCAATCAATTCGAAAAGGATTACGTGACGACCCAACATTGCGGGTACCACAGGTAACCCAGTTATTTTTTTAGTACCATTGTATTCCTCGCGAAATGGAGTCACTGTGAATTCAGTGCCCTGCCCAAGAATGCAGTACAATGTAGTAAAATGATTTCTCGGAGTCCCACTCACTAAATAACAACCTTCGAGCAAAGTACGAGTAGCGATCAATAGTGAAAACAACTCCGTGTAACAGGGCAAAAAAGTGGCGCGATCAGATGCAGTTTATCAGTTGAACACAAATATACAATCTCATATGTTTCGCGCCCCAATTCGATGCCGAGATTTTGATACTGCTGGAACCAGACGGTTTATTTCCCAAAGTAGCAAGCGCCCTAGTATTGTAAACGATCGTCGCGCCGATTGTGCTGCTCGGTTTACTTCGTGCAAGTCTACGAATCTCGCAATTTTTCACAGTGTTAAGAGGCTTGTTACCTGAGCCGCGCTTACATGACTTGCTCCACAAAAGCCAACATATAGTTGGTATTTTTATTTTTTATTACAACTTTCTGACACGGGTGGTCAAGATCTTACCAAATCTGTAGACTAGAGGAAGGACATATCAAGTCAACTAACCGATATTTACAATTGGCAATATCGTAACAAGGATTTACAAAGGTTGAGACAGCTGCCTTTAAAATATACGAGTTTACATTTGTTTGTGCAGTAGTAGTAATTTACAATGAATCAAGTGTATCATAGATTTGTCAAGCCTCCAGGCCAAAGTGTTTTGTCAGCGGTAATCGCATGCCCTTGTCTAACTGAAAGGAAGTTCCTGAAGTTTCTAATTTGTGACAGCTCAAAACAACAAACAAGACGAAAACGAAAGAGAAAGTCGACCTAACCACAGCGAGGATTAACATAAGACAAAGTCATTTCTGGTCTTCTGAGTCTGTCAAGTTCAACATTCAAATAACTGAACAGAGTTATTTTTGGTCTTTTGAGTGTGTGAAGTATCCTCGCTGTTACTTTTGTGTCCCTTGCCAGAGGACTCTGAGGCTGGAAATGGCATCCTCTTTCGATCTACAATGGCATGGGTATGTTTGCCTCCTGAGAAGGGGGAAAAAGAAAAGGAAACTGATAACAGATTCTACTGGTCAGGGGTGTTCAAAGCTTCAGTTGTGTTATTCGCGCATTGGGTTAGATGACTGTTTGTATGGACGCTGCCGGCATAGAACTACAAGGGACGTCGTTAAGTGCCATGGAAACATTTGTATGTAAAATATCAATACAGACGACCATTATAACCTCTCTTCCCCTCTAAGTTCTCACTGCTCTCCGAATTTGCATCCTCTTTACTCTTTTCTGTACATTCCGTATTTATTCTTTTGTGTAGAAACCTCTGATAGCTTTGATTCACCCAGCCTAGCCTTATACAATCGCCACTATGTTTACAAGCCATTCACAGTCCTTCTTGTATGCAAGGAACGCTAACGACTCAGTTCTTAGAAACATTTAGTAAAACGATCTCAGCGACGAAAGTCGACGGTGCATGACCAAAAAGAAAACATACAATAATTCCGAGTATTCTGTTGATCAAACTGAGTCGGCACAACATAAATTTTAGCAAGGCACAACATACATACATTTTAGCAAGGCTGATTTACTACACGATAGAGTCCATACTGATAGCTAAGATGCAACCCTGGACAATTGTTTGGACCTGGTTGGGTCTCGTCAACACCGTGTAGCAGCAAAGCATAAAGCAATCAGCTCGAAGGCTAAACGGAGGCTAATACTGAATGCACACGGTTTGCAGATTCAACCATGCAGCAGTTGCCATTCCATGCATATGTACGCTTTTTTCTGATCACTGCTATTGATTTGAGATTTCTAGCGACTGATTTGTCCTACAGCCTCGGTTACAGCAAAATGATTAAGCGCTATATTTAGATATCGATTCTTACCTTCGGATTCCTTCCAAACTAATTTATGAAAGTTTGATGTATCTGTATTCTTACTCTTTTCTTTATGATCCATAATCAATCGCTTGGGTCCTCAGTCATCTGTGATACCGTCAATTCAACAATTCTTGATGCGTTTTGTCGCTACGGAGCGGTTAGCTGTAGTTGTAAATACCCAATTTCTAGGAAATTGATCGAATAAGTGCGCAAAATACAGGTATTGTTTAAAGTATTCTGTTAAACGCAGGAAGTCATAGTAACCATGACAACGACATACAATTGGTATATCGTTTTTCAGCTTCTTAGAAATTTACACCATGCGCTTGCGTACTTTCAGATTCTTTTACCTCGTTCTAGCGACCACAGGCCATGCCCGCAAAGCCTGCCCCTCAATTCGCTGTATGTAAGGATGGTTTGATTTCCCGGGAAGAAAGATGTGGCCGTCGTCTTTGTGCCTCCGCAGTTCAAATCACTACTGTGCCATATCAATTCCGATTATCGATTAATGATTTCATTTATTTCCACGCCATCGAAAAAAAAAAAAAAAAAAAATTGTTTCGATGTCGTGGGACGCAGTAAGAAATCGCGAACATTCTGTGAAACAAAGGAAATCGGTTGCATTACCGGTTCAGGGAAAATTAAGCAAAGGTTACTTGTCACCCGCAGTCGATTTATCAGTTACATACTTTAGGGTGTTTAGTTTAACTCTAACAGAATAACCAATAACATTATTTTCATGTTTCATCTTGCTTTATTATGACTTAGAGCCCTGTCGCATGCGTTCCAGAAACAGGCAAGGATATTCTGTTCTGGACAAAGGTATATAATTTAACGTTAAGTTGGTGTCTTAGAAATGTACGCCATGTGTTTCCAAACTTTTAGAATTCTTCTGGGCATCGCTTTTATTATGAAGCCTGGTCCTGACTGTCGGAATAGGGCGGGGAATTAACAGGTCAACCGGAGCCTCAGCGGATAGTTTTTAGAAGGGAATGGTTATGAAGCCCTGCAAACATCAAAGGGGTAAACAAAGATGCCAAGATTTATGCTGGAAGGTCGACGACCGTACACGATCTTTTGTTTTGCACTCATACACTTTGCATGAATTACGCAACCAAAACGTTTCTATTGGTTAATTCCTCGGTGCGAAGTAAACAACTATTGTGTTTTGTGCACGGTCAAGGCTAAAAAAGCCAACAAAAACCTACAACAAAGAAATTTGTCGGGTTTCATAACCATTCCTCTCTATTAACTATGCTCAGCGTAATAAAAAAAAAACTGGAGAGTGCCTGGAATCAACTGGCCACTATATTGGGACGAGCCTGCCGGGGGCGGGGGGGGGAGGGGTATTTTTTTGGATTCCGTTTTTGGTTTCAGCTGTTTTGCAAAAGGTTGTCGTAATAAGCGTAATAACATTCTCGTTCCCAGACATTTTAAAACAAGTAGGACTGGGAACGAGAATGGCGTAATAAGCGACAAGCGTTTAACAGCGCGTCACCCAAGACTTAAATTCATATTAAAACTAATTTGTTTCTTTTTAAACCTGTTTTACTCAAAGAAAAAGACACAATAATATGTACGCTTAAAGTATGAACCAATTCTCTCATAACACGACGACAACAACTTGGGCCCTAGGAAATGTTTTATTAATTTGTGATTGACTACCAAGTTCTCACAATGCACGGTTACTAGGATCCTAACACCCCACAATCAGTTGAGCAACAGTGAACGAAAACGCTTAAGCTGGTTTCTAAAATTATCAACGAAAGATTCCTTTATTTAAATAAAGTTTATGTCTATTTCTAATTATAATGAAAATGTAGGCAAACAAAGTTAATAAATTATTATTTTATTATTATTATACTCAATGATGATCTAGACAAACAAAGTCAAAATACTCAAGTTTAAGTAGAAGGCTCGAACTAGGGTTTGGATTGCTCAGAATAATCTTCACATTGCCGAAACAAAAGGAACTTGCGCTAAATTCGACGGAAACTTTGTAGCTAAATTGAAACTGCACACGTCATGTTATATATGTACGGTCGTGCGTATATTTAAGCAATAAAGCACTTTTTCCGTGTTTACATAGCCTCATCTAAACACGAGGAGGGTTGGGAGAATTAGAAACACTTATGCAAACCCTCGACTACGTCCCGGGTTTGCATAACTTTGGAGAACTCTTTTTATTTGTCAAAAGCTGATGATGTTGAGGACGTCATTCGCCCCTGCGAAAAAAAAACTTTCTGGAGGAGTGGGGTGGGGGGTTGGGTGTGGAGGGCTAAATGTGAACTACTAAAAAATATCGATTTTTTTCGCTCGGACACAGGGGACCAAGACAAATCAGTATGCGTTCTCGTTACTCTCGAACACAAATATCACCAACAACAGCACTTTTGTCCGATATTATTTTGAGTTAAGCCTGATACATTTAATTTCTATTTTATCATTTAATAAGAGAGGGGGATGGGCCGGTACTAGCTATCAAATCCCACCAGCGGTCCCTAACTATAAATTAGAACAGCTGCTGGTTTTCACGGTCAAAAATAAAATCGTAACTATTCAATAGATAAAATCAAGATAAATGATTGCCAAAATTTACGTCTGTGGGGTTTTTCATTTGAATGTTATTCGGAGAAGTGTTTCAAGCAAATTTGTAGAGTTTTGTACTGGGGACGTCATGTTGGTGCCCCTCAGCTAAGCTCAGAGGAGCACCAACATCGCGACATTGCTTGTTTTATTCGTAGCTTAATTCTGTAATTTTTTGTTGTAGATTTCTAGTGTTTTAAAGTTATTTGTAATTTAATTGAGGACCGCAGGTTTATTAGTGCTGCGCACTATTTAGCGTAACCCCCTTGAAATGAATTGTAAAGTGACAGAAACATCTGAAATTGAGTTTTGCTATTGAAACGAAACTTTTTTACTCCAGAGAACCCGCCAAACATTGAAATTAACACTTCTTCTAGATCAAGAACTGTTCAGTTAGCAAAACCTTTTAAAGTGCCACTTAAACAAAAACAAACAGCAACAGGCTCTCTTGAAGTTTCATTTCGATTTTTCGTCAATAAAACATCCAAACTTTGCTTTATAAAACTAAATATCTAAATTCCAAAACCACACACGGAAAGCAGTTGAAAGAGATCAAGAGAGAGATCAAGAGTACAGCCATCGATACCATCAATGGCTAGATTATTTGCATATTTCGTTAGTTGTCAAGTTTCGGAATTCGATTTTCTTATAGGAACACTGTCACCATTTTTAGCATGGCTTTGGAAATCTCAAAAACGTATATCGATCATTGGAAGCTGAGCAATAATAGTTTTATTTTTTAGAGCAGCGCCCGACAAATCATTAAAACCCTTTAGGAAGTGAGGATGGCTAACGATGGCGAGGATGGAAACAGATTGTAATATGGATTTTTGAAAAAGCGCCAGGATGTCAGTTTTTCAAAGGTTCACGTTTGGCTGGGAAATCGTTGAAAATTTGCAAAAATGTTGCTGCAGTGTGGACTTTCTTCAAGAAATTACTTTTAATCATTTAGTTAGCGCTAATTAAGTTCTTGCTACAAACATTTATGGACCATTTCGTGAATTTATATCAGTTTTAAGCAAATATACCGTGACAGTGTCCCTTTAAGCATCTCAATATTTTCGTTAGATTTTAAAATTCTTTCAGACTTTTGAATGTAGCAACTTCCAAACGAGGCAATGATATAAACAACGGAAATTAATTTAGCGGTCATTACGCGTGCATGAATTCTTAATTTGAAATTTTATTCTGACCTGGTTAGAGTGTAAGAAATGTATTTTGCACAAAAATTATATATATGTAACAAATCCAATAACCCGCAAAATATAAATCCTCTTAAAAAACATAATCTATTGTCTATACAAAGTGGGGCAAACTGATTGGTTGCTATACGTAGCAAAGAATTGTGATTGGTTCAGGGACATCACGCCACTGTCCCACTTGAATCGAGCGTCGCTTGTCGTGGAATAGAAAACTTGCAGCGAAAGTAGAAATTAAATGACCAAATAGACGGATCACCAATATCTCGCACACGATATCTCCACTGGGATTCAACTGAATGTTGTCAAATGTTCAAGATTGGTAAATGACACAATTATCTAGGCCGCAAACCTCTAAAATTTATGAAATGTTGTGCAATTTATGAAATGTTTTACAGTTAATATAGTTAATGTTAGTAAATTATTATATGGCAGCGTCTCACAAGGACTGGGAACTACCGAATTCACGAATTTGATTGGCTGAAATCGATATTGAAAACGGTCTAGATTTTCCCATCTAGACCGGCATCTAGACCGGTAATGTTTTGCGGTGAGAAATTTGCAAAGTAAAATACAAAAATATTGACTATTTTCTTTTAACAACATTTATTTATGGAAGTGCCAAAAAGGCTGATGAGAAAAATTAAAAAGTATAAAGAGGACGAACAAACTTTGGCAAGGGGCGGGTCTATGGCTCGGTTCACGAAAGGAAAAAATTGAGGATCACGGATCACGGATCACGGATATAAAAATTTCGCTTTCCCGAAACACACTCAAAAAAGCAAGTAAGACACTTTTTTAATAACCTGTTCTTACACTAGAAAGAGTGTTCGAAGAAAGAAAAATTGTGGAAGGCTAAGTCAAGTCTTCATATTGTCTAAGTTACTCTCGATAGCCGACTCTAACCATTCGGAGGACCTGCGTCTCAAACATCGCGTAGAACAGAGTGGTGAAATCACAAGTATCGGTGAATAATTCAAGTTCTTCACGGGTCACGCAAAACCTTCAGGTCACGGATCACGAAGAATAATTTCCTGAATTCACGTTTCACGGAAAATAGAATAAGCTAACGGCACGCATAACGAGAATCCCCCTGTACGAACCTCTAAGCAAAATGCCAGCTAGTACAAACCAGGATACATTAACAAATTAAACTGTTCTTGTTTGCCATATAATAAACATCTTATTAACCGAGCAGGAGATCTGTATGGGAGAATCTTGACCTCGGTCGTGTGTACAAACCTCACTTTGTTCGGTGTGTACTCACGACCTCGGTCAAGATTCTCCCATACAGACCTCCTGCTCGGTTAATAAGAGCTGAATTTTTCCCATTTTCAAGAGAAAACCCCTTCAAAACACTGTTTTCTGAAGTTTGCCCCCTGGACAACTTGCTTATGGACAGGATGAAATTAATTCCGTGCTTCTCGAACCATTGAATAGTACGTTATCGTGAGAATG